GGCGGGGGCTGCGATGGGGGGTGGGAGGGAGGTTGGGGGTACGTGCGAGACAGCCCAAGCAGGGGGAGGCAGCCCCAGCGCCAGCGTTGCACCCCGCTGCGTGCCAGCGACCCCACTCACCAGTGAAATATCGAGGCAGAGCGAGTTCTGGGAGGAACAAGCAAAGAAAACACACAACTACACAGCGACGGGGTTTGTCTTTGAGGCCTTTATTCCTGCTGAAGGTAAAGGATCGGGAAAAGCACCCCGGGGGGCTGACGGTGACACAAAGAGGAGCCGGCAAAGAAGGATTTCCCTCGCTGCACCCTCGCCCCGTGTGCCCGGCGCGACGGCATCCCCAGGTCTGAGCATCCACTAATTCTCTGCAGGAAGGAACCGTTTCCCATCCATCTCACGCCCTGTCCCCGCAGCTGGAGGTTTGTTGGGGACATCTCCGCAGCATCCACGTGTCCCCCACGCGAGTCAGACCCGTCACAGAGCTCTGCTTGGCTCACAGGGGAGCTCCAGGACAATCTGCTGAGCTTCCAGCGCTCCCTCCGCCGCAGGCAAAGGCTTCCCAGGGAGAAGGGGCTTGTGGATGGGAGGAGGTTTAGCTCAGGTTGGTGGTCCCAAGGATGGACCCACTCCAGCGAGGCAGCTCTCCCTGGGACTATGTGTCCTGTGTCCCAGATGTGTCCCCAACACACCAGGCACCAGCATCCTGAACCGGCTCCAGGAGGGGATGGACAGTGGTGGCTCATCCCCAGCAGCGCTGGGTCCATGTCACCACGGCACGAGTGCTCCTCCCGCATCTCCCCACCTCTCACCCCACCGTCAGCAGCCCCCCGGTTCGGCGCAGTGTCCCAGCCCCCAGATGACAGATATTCACCAAGCTGGAGTGTGAGAGCCCGCTACAGGCACCCAGGGAGGGGTCTCCACCTCTGGACTCAGCGCTTCCCACCGCGGGGACACGGCAGGGCACGAGGTTTGCAATGAGCTGTACCAAGGTTTAAGAATCCCCCCCACCCGCTTCACTCCAGCCCCCCCGTCCCAAGGCACAGCACGAGCAGCGTGGTGCAGCACAGGGAAATGTAATTTGCACGCTCACATGCACACCTGGGTCAGACTGAAAAATGGCTCTTGACTGGTTTTCTCCATCACCCCCCGACGGCAGCAGCTGAACCGCAGCTCAGCGTGTCCTTACCCACCCTCTGCCCCGCCACCGCCGGGGTTATCACACCTGGACCCATCTCACCCCAAAACACCGAGGGAACAGCTCTGGGGCTCGAGGGGATGGGGGGAACGGGGAGAAGGCAGCCGAGGCAGAGGGTCCTGGCTCTGCCCCACCGCCGGGACACGCAGAGCTGATAAACCCACCCATGGCATGGACAGACCCTCCGGGGGGCTGGTCCCGCCGTGGGGACAGACACCCCCTGGTCAACACCGCGCTGGAAAAAGGCCCATCAGTTCCCAGCCAGGACACAGATGCTGCAGCCCGGCTCCAGCTCTGCCCGAGTGGACAAGACGGGCATCGGGAGGGATAACACAAAATCAGGAGCTAAAGCCCAGCACACACTCCCTCCTCCGACTCCCCTCACACCAGAGTGGACCCCAGGGGATCTGGAGGGGTGACACACTGCAAGAGACACTGAGCATCTCTGGGACACTAAAGGGGGGTGACCCCGGTCCCTCTTGTGTGCCCTCCCCACAGGATGGAAGCACAGGGAGGCAGCAGCCCCCAGGGGACACAGCACGGGGCACTCGATATTTCACTGGTGTCCACCACACTGACACTGGGGGACAGCACAGCCCCCCTGCCCTGCTTTCCAACCCTCCAGGACCCCACAGAGCAGCTCCACCACCCCAGCTTCGGGCACGGGAGGATGCTTCAGGGGACAGCCGCAGGCAAATCAGTGCTGGCAGCCACCAAAGGTCTCACAGAGAGCCCTGCTGGGAGCTGGCTGCGGGGGCAAAGCCCCCCCGAGACCAACACATGCCAGAGCTGGAGGGGACAGCCCCCCCAACTCCCTCGCCCCCCAGCTGATGCTTCCCACCCCTCGACAGCAGTCTTCTCCCCGATGGCTTGGCATGGGAGGGGGTAAAAGACACCCTCATCTTCAGGGCTAAAATCTCCCCGTCTGTGCAGGGACGTGGATTGCACCGAAGCCTGGTCCCCCTCCGGCAGCCGATGCACCGGGTTCAAATGCTCGTGCATCATCGAAGGCGCTGCGGGGCGGCATGAGCTGCGAGAGCAAGCGCGGGCGCACACTGCCTCCTCTCCCTCTCCTCTCCATCTCCCTCTTCCTCTCCCTCTCCTCCCTCTCCCAGCTGAGCTGCCCCAGGGACACAAACCAGACAGCAGAGAGCACAGTCGGAGGGCAAGAAGGAGCCAGCATGCCATGGAGAGGAAAGGGGCCAGCACACACCCAGAGAGAGAGAGAGGACAAAAACCAGCCAAGGAAAAGAAGAAAGAAATACAGAAGAGAGTACTTACAACAGAAAACAGAGAAATCTCACTTGCTCAGTAGTCCTGATGCACCAAAGCACGGACAGGGAGAGAGACAGACAGATGGAGAGAAGAAGAGTGTGTGAAAAGACCTGGATATTAACTCTCCTCTGGAGAAGCCCAGCGCGTTGCCCAGCTCCGTCTTTTTGGAAGGAACACACAGATCAAAGATGCCCTGATTCTGCATTTGCTCTTTGCAGTGGCAGGGTGAGACTCAGCCACAAACCCTGCTGCCGAGCGCCCGGAGCATCCCGTGCTGCTCCAAGGGGACGGGGAGGGAGCCTGGAAAAGCCCCTCGCCTCCCACTCACCCACGGCCACGCACAGCGACACTGACTCTTAAGAAAATCCACATCGACCCTCAGCAAAGTATTCCTAAGAGGAAAACATCCAACATAAAGCCTAGCAGGCAAAACCAAGGTTACCTGCTCTCTCTGTGAAACCCACTCTCTGGTTTTCCAGCGCGTCAGCACTGAGGGCTTCCTCGGGCTTCGCTGCCAAACCAGCCACAAACTCCCTGCTCCGAAAACTTCCCCATTTAAGCCGATTTCCTGCTTAACCCTGCGATCGGTTCCCATCACCCGCCTTAACTGCGATCACAAATTAGAGTGGAAGGACCCCAAATTGGCTGGGCAATCATTCCCTCATGCAATACCCCCCTCTGCCTCCCTTGCCTCTCGGAGACGCCGGGGAGGGAGGGGAGGCAGAGCTGCCCCCCCCCCAATCAGGCTGAGACCCCGGCACTGCCCGGACACGGCTCCGAGGGTATTTGTGATACAACAGGCGAAACACCAAGAAAATAGCAAGGTTTTTCCATTAGATCTCTTCCCGGAGGAGGGTAACGCTGTGCTCCCAAGAGGCACTATGAAACATCACCATCTACACGGGGGGGTTAAACAGCAGAGTTCAGGAACTAAATGTGCTGTTAAATAGTTCAGGGAGGGACAACGCGCTCCTGCCACCGGTGCAGGTGTGACAGAAGCAACAACCCACCTGCCTGTTTAACCCCATGTCTCTTCCTCTGCTGTAAACACCGAGATTCCACTGCAGCTCACAAAACCCTTCCCCTGCTGTAAACACAGAGATTCCACGGCAGCTCACAAAACCTCCCCGCAGCATCTGCTCACCCAGCCCTGCGCCCACCAGCGCCAGAAGAACCCCCAGACCCCACTGTGGGCTCACCAAGCCCTCCAAATAACCAAGTAATGGAGCAATTAAAGGTTTGCTCCAACTCCTCGACCTCCACGAGCCCCAAGGGGATTTCCACAGAGTGAATCCCGGACCCGGGGCACCGGCACCGCTCCGGGACACCCGTCCCTCTCCTCCCATCTTCTCCCGAGTGACCGGGGCACCGGGAGGGAGAGGGGAGCCCCTCCGCCGGGACAAGGGGCGGATAAACCCGGGGCAGCAGCAGAAGGTGAGGTGCAGGTGGGTGCTGCTCAGAAGGCACGGGGACAGGACCACCATGGCCATGGTCACCGGCACTCACGTTATCAGCCGCGACTGGGGCTTCTGCGGGGGGTCTCTGCCTTGGGCGAGATCGTCCGGCAGCTCCAGCGTCTGCGACTCCAGGATCTCGTTGAGGCTGTTCTCGGCAGCGGGGCAGGAGTCGGGGGTGCTGCTGGCCAGGGTCTTGGTGGGCTTGAAGGGATCCACGGAGTCAAAGTTATCGGGGTCGAACTGGTAAGAGCCCCTGGGGAGCGTCGGGGAGCTCTGCGGGTTGAGAGCCGGGCTGTCCCAGCGCGGGGGACCCAGCCGGGGGGAGCCCCGGGGAGGGGGCGGCTCCGTGGGACCCCTCTCTGCCTCCTCAGCTGGTTTCTTGGGGGACTCTCGGTGCCTCTTGGGCGTCAGCTTGCTGGCCGGGATCCTGCTGCCCTTCCTGGCCGCAGCCCTCCTGGACTCCGGGCTCTCCCTCCCCTCCGTACAATCGACCTCGGGTTTTGAGACCTGCCCCATGGGCTCTGGGGCCGGGTCCCCCCCCAGCTCCCCGGGGTTGATGCTGGGCTGGGGGAGGCGGCGCGGGGTCGCCGGAGGGGAGCTCTGCAGCCGGCAGCCCCCAGCCACGAAGGGGTTTATGTTCTCGTCGTACTGCTCGGGGTTGAACTGGTAGGATGCTCGGGGCACCGGTGTCTCCTCTGTGGTTTCTCCTGCCTTCCTCCCCAGAGAAGGGGGTTTCTCCTTCCCGAGCTGGCCCCGGCTGGGCGAGCACTCCTGGGCCACCAGCCCCGTGCCAGCCTCCGCCGTGTCCTCCCCCGACATGAGGTGCTCCGGGGGGGCTCTGCTGGCATGTGGCACCGGGGCCGGCTCCACAGCGGGCACAGTGGCCCAGCCAGTGTCAGCCCCACTGCCCAGCACGGCTGGAGGCTGGGGTTCAGCTGGTGGTGGTGTCAGGGACTGGTCTTCGGGGTCGGTTTCCCCTTTAGCATCTGAGTTGGCTTTTGGGGCTCTGGTCTCCGTCTGAGCCTCATTTTTGGGGGCCTTCCCAGGCGAGCTGTCCCCGAGGGCTTCCCCTACCAGCAGGTCTTCATGGCCACTCGGCTCTGAAAAGATAAAAGGAGCTGGTTAAACCCCCTCCTGCCATGCACCCCCTGCCAGAGGGGTTCCTCTGCTCCCCCCACGGCTGCTCCCCGGTCAGATTTTACGGGGGAGCCACTGCTCACCTGGGCAGAGAGTTAAAAATTATTGAGAGGAATTCAGGGACCCACGACATGAGAAAACACCATGAAACGAGATGAAGCAGGTTGGGGGGCGGACAGGAAGGGGATGCTGTGCTTAATGAAGGAGCAGGTAACGGGCTGCCGGGGGGGCCCAGGGCTCAGCCGGCCGAGGGGCCGGTGCTGCGGAGCTGGATGTGCACCCAGCAGAGGGAAGGTGCCCAAAGCTCCCTGAGATTTGTCCACTGCACCCCCAGTGTAGGAGTGGGTTTGACGGCCCCACTGCTCCCCCCAACACCCTGGCTCTCCTGCAGACCCTAAGCAGCCCCAATGGGCACCCAACAGAGGGATGCCCTGCAGTGCGAACAGGGGAGGGGGGCACAGCAGAGCAATGAGACCCCAGAGAGCAGTGATCCCGCAGGAAAGGCCCTGCCGGAGCAGCCCCTCTGCTCAGCACCACAGTTTCCATCCTGCCTGCACCCCTGTCTGCAGAAATCCCAGCTGAGCACTTATGCCAGGCTCACCACGCTGCTGTCAGAGTTTCTTAATCACAAATCCTGATCCATGACTTAATCACTATTACTCCAATCCCTTCCCCTAAATCCTTTTACTGTTTAATCTTTTCTTTGCTGTCAGCGGATGGGGAAGCTCCTTATGTACCGAGGCACCCTGAAAGCTACACCCACCAAGCACCCCGAGCCAGGACCTCAACACAGAGGCACAAGAGGAAAACACCCGGTGTCACCTCCCGCACCTCTTCCCCCACGTCTCAGCCAGGGACGATGGCACAGACCCCCGGGATGAGGCAGGAGGGGATGCTCGGGGTGTTCAGCACCCACCAGGGAGCAGGCAGGACCCGCCACTCTCACTGGCACCTTTCTGGGGAGACATAGGAAAAAATCAGAGCTTGCACAAGGACCAAACTGGTTTGAAAAGCTGGCTGGGAGTAGCAACAGGGGTGATACAGAGCTTCTGCCTGGGGAACCTGCCTGTCCCCTGGCACTGGGGTGGGTGACAGCAGGGAGGAGGAGGTTTGGCCGGGGGATGCCAACGCCGAGCTCCTGCAGCCCCGAGTGTGTCTCCCTGGAAAGGCCGTTCCTATTTGCAACCAGCTCATGTTTGCTGGTGACCGAGCGAGTCACAGGCTGGCAGGAGGAGAAAAGTGAATCAGGCAAATATCTGGTCCCTGGGCTAATCCAGGACATGGAGCCAGCAACCCTGACTCAGCTGATGGCTCGTGGTTTGCATAATTGATCTCCAGGATGCTAAAAGCCATGGAAATGAATCATGAGGGGCCGTGTGCTCCCTGAGACTGCAAAAAAAGCTCCCTCCGACTGCAAAAAAGCTCCCTCCAAATAGACGCTGCCTTGCTGCCCCAGAAAACGCATCAGTAAACACAAATGCAGTGGATACGTACTTGGAGTGCAGCCAGCAAACACTCCGAGGCAGCGCCTGCCAGGCCTTTCCATCATTAGGAACCAGGAAAAACCTCCTTAACAGACCCCAAAGAAAACTTTATTACACTTGCTGTGCTGCTCAGATGTTTTAAACCTCACTGAGACAGCCCTGAATAGAAAGAACAGACTTCAAAGTCAGGGCAAAAGGCATCTTTTAAATGCATTTTACATTCCCACTGGAAGGTTTTGCAGCCGCCGTTCTCACAGACATAAGCCCATCCTGGTTTCTAACCCAAGCCATGAGTAATTACTCCGTGAATAACAAGCAGTCGGCACGCAAACCACCTCTCCCTCCGTTTGTGTCTGCAGGGCGGGGGGAGAAGGAGGGATGGTGCCTGGGACCGTCACTCACAACAACTATTTCTTCACAACGATTGCAACCACCTGCCCAGGTCTCCCAGATTTGTGATTAGTGCCTGGGACCGTCACTCACAACAACCATTTCTTCCCAACGATTGCAGCCACCTGCCCAGGTCTCCCAGATTTGTGATTCACCCGTTTTCTGCTCCCCCCTGCCCCGCTCCGCCAGCCCGGGAGGCTGAGGAACTGGAATATACTGGGAGAAAGAAGGCGTGGGTGCAGGAATGCTCAGGAGCTCGCCAGCTATTTTGGCAATCTTCTGAAGTGGGACCGTCCCTCCTGCAACCTCTGGGGTTTTTTTCCCCCCCTTTCTCTGGCGACGAGACAGGCGTTAATCACTTGTGCGAGTTCCCAGCCACAGCCCCAGGGAACCGAGGGAGGAATGAGAGCTGGGGGGGTGGCAAGGAGCCTGCCCACCTCCGTGGCAAGAACCCGTTCCCCCTCCCCTCTGAACACCCACGCAATGCCCCACAGCCCTGATTTTTCAAGCCCTGCTTGGGCTCAGCTATTCCCTTCCTCGGGGGACCACCGCCTCGGGGGCTGAGGCCACCATGGGATGGGCTCGCCTGGGCACCAAGATGGGACAAAGGCAGGCACTTGTGCAAGTTCCCAGCCACAGCCCCAGGGAACCGAGGGAGGAATGAGAGCTGGGGGGGTGGCAAGGAGCCTGCCCACCTCCATGGCAAGAACCCATTCCCCCTCCCCTCTGAACACCCACGCAATGCCCCACAGCCCTGATTTTTCAAGCCCTGCTTGGGCTCAGCTATTCCCTTCCTCGGGGGACCACCGCCTCGGGGGCTGAGGCCACCATGGGATGGGCTCGCCTGGGCACCAAGATGGGACAAAGGCAGGCAAAGCTACAAGGTCAATTAGTTCTCTGGAGAGAGCTGCCAGGATGGAGAGCACGAGGGTTTGAGGGGCCACAGGGACCTACCAGGAGCAGGGGGGGCTCCCAGGGCACCATCCCCTCGCAGGGATGGAGAGCCAGCCCCTGCCCCCCCGCCGGCTGAGGAGAGCAGGACAAATCCCTGCTGTCCTGTCCCAAAGGTGATGGCATCCCCAGGAAACCCACCCCACACAGGTCCCTCTGCCCAGCAAGGGCTGGGGGGGAACAGCCTGGCCCCAAGGTCCCCCCCGGCCCCCGCGTTTCCTCCCCCTGTGCATTTCCTCTGCCTCCAAGGCAGCCTCCCACCAGCTGCCGAGCGACCGGAGCGCGTTCCTGCAGGAACAATTACACGGGACGCAGGAACCAGGGACCCGAAGGACCTCGGGGGGCACGGGAAGAGATGGGGTCTGTACCCTGGGCCCCCCCTGGGCATCGCAATACCCTCGGTGGAGCACTGCCTGTTCCCCAGGGAGCCCTTCCCAACCCCGCTGAGCTCCCTCTTCCTACACGTGCATTGACATCCCAAAGCCAGCCCTGCTCCCCGCCACCCCCGTGCAGTCACGTTGGGGAGCCCCCGGCTCGGCACACACTCCCCCCACTCACATCTCCCACCAGGGAAACAGCCAGACCCTCCCCAGCCCGGCTTTGACATCCTTTGGGGCCAAAACTGTCCCCAACACCCCACGGGACCCCAGGAGAAGGCAGTCTGGTAGCCACACTGCCACGCACGCTGACCCACTGCACCAGGCACCCCCCCTGGACCAGCCAAACCCCCCCCAGAGCCATTCTTCTCGCAGGCCGTCCCCCCCCGGAGCCATTCCTCTCGCAGGCATCCCAGCAGCTGCCGTCAGCAGCATCCCGAAAAGGTGACCCCCAGCTCCCCCACGTCACCTCTGGCGCTGGGCCCTGCAGGTGGGGACAATTCAGCCCCGGCGTGAAAACAGACACCGCCAGCAGCAAGTGCTCAGTGACTCCAGGATCCATCCCAAACCCAAATCCAATAAAAAGCACTCCGGATTCCCAAAAAACAGCAGTTGTACCGGCTGTGCATGGAGTGTGAACCGCCTTCTGGTCCAGCCGGTGCTCAGGGAGGGGAGATTACAAAGTGAAAATGGAGATTTTTATTTTTTTTATCATTATTCTCTAAAGAAAAACCTAGAGAAAGGACAGCCTGGCACCACAGTAATTGGCACTTTGTGCCTGTGCATTTTAATCGTCCGGCTTCTCTTCCCTGGGCTGAAATTAAACACAAACAGCGACTCACTGAGCAGCTCTCCCGCGCGCCGGCCCTCGCTCCCCGAAATGAATCACTAAAACTTGGCAGCGGCGCCGGGATGCAAAGGGCTCCCTCACGCCCCTTTTCATCCCACATCCAGCAACCCCGTGAGGCAGCACCCACCCTCCTCATCCTCCACCACCAAGAGCAACCCCCCTGCTCCCCCCGGCTCCTGCTTTGTGCTCGGCCGGAGCCGCGCTCTGCCCCGGGCTCGGCACAGGATATCTGCCCGGTGCATCCAGCTCAGCCTCACGTAGCCAACCCCTTCTTTCCTCTTTTGGCTTTTTCCGCCTTTGTTCAACAGCCGTTGATCTATTTTTAAATCTATTCTGTTAAGAATTAGCACACCAGCTAACGATGCTGCCGCTAACGCACCGGAAAACACGTGCCCTGCATCAGGGTAACAGAAGCAGAAGCCGAGGAGCCGGCTCCTGTCACTGACGGTTCCATATTTGTTGCTTCTGCTCATTTCCTTGCACAGAAAATCTCCTGCTGGCAGCTGGCTGAGGACAACTCCAGCACGGATGGGCCAGGATCGCAGCCCCCACCGCCCCAGGGAGCAGGAGGGAAACGGAGTGACCCTGAACAGGCACAAAGCCTAAAGCATCCCCCTCCCCGGGGTGAGGGGACCGGCTGAGGTTTTGTCCCTGAGAATAGGGTTTAATGCATCCAGGGCTGGCAGCTGGCAGCAGAACCAGTTTGTCCCTGTCTTTCCTGTAGGCCCCCTTTAAGTACTGAGAGGCAAAGAAAAGCACGATATTTCAAGTCCCACACCGGGGTCTCTGCCACCAGCGAGCGGCTGTGGGGCAGGAGATGGCAGAGGATGCTCAGGATGGTCTGGCTGGGACCTCCCGGCCCCCCGTGTGCTGCCCTCCATCCGACAGCCCCGGGGTCCCACAGACGTCCTGACACTGCCCAGTCCCTGCTCTGCCGAGAGCAGATGAAAGGGGAGGTCTCCTCCTGCCCTGATAACCTCCAGCGGTTGTGGCCGAGGTGCTGGGGCTTCAAAGCCTCCTCCTGGGCAGCAGGAAAACAGACACAAACACCAAGCTCAGGCACAGACACCAGCCAGGATCCCCCTGGGGAGAGGGGCACGGGGACAGGGGGGGCTGCTCCCCAAAAGGCCCCAAAAGAGGAACCACGCTCCGAGGAGCAGCCGCCGGTGTGAGGCACAAGGACAAACCAACAACAGGAAACCCCCTGCGTTTTCAGCAGATCCCTCACAGTTTCTCTAGCATCAAGCTTTCGCCTTTTTAACAGCAGCTGCACGGCAAAGACACCTGGCTGAGAATTCTGGGGAAAAGAGACCCTGCAATGAGACCTCCCCCACCGACCACCCCGGGGAGGACACAAACCCAGCTCCTGTGCGAGAGCCGAGGGCGGGTGGCACATGGGGCACGTGAGGGGCAGCTCCCACCAGCCACGAGCCCACTCTCTGCAGCCGCGGGAGGCAGCAATTTAACTGACAAGATGATTGCACGGCACCTGGGTTCCTCTCCATCCATCCATCCATCCATCCCCAGGCACAGCCTCAGCCCGGCAGCTCCCAAACCCACCACCCCGAGCTCAGCCCCCCGTCCTCTCCCCGGCTGGGCTCGGGGACAGCAGGAGGCTGCAACCGGTGGTTGCAAAACAGCACCACGACCACGACAGTTTTTCACTTGTGTAGGCACAAGCCAAGGAAGGCAAATTGAGTCTTCCGAGCCTGCTGCACAGCCCCCTCCCTCCAAAACGACTCTGATAAAACCAACGTTTTGCTCAAGTGAGAGGACAGCCCTTAGGGCAGCGCAGAGCCCCGAGCCCTGGCATTTGAACCACCCAGGCCATTCACCACAAAATAACGTGGCAGGCACTATTCAAAACAAGCAACTTCTCCTCCTTGACCCCACCCTGATTTTCCGCATCCGGAGCAAAGAGCCGAAAAGCAGAAGGTGCACGTTGGCTCTTTACCTTGGGTCCTGGCCTCGGGCTCGGGCGATCCCGGCGGCGGCTCGCAGAGCTCCTTTAGTGGCGAGCAGGTCGGCGTTTCTGCTTCGGGGGTCTCAAAATTACCTTCGGAGTCCGAGCTGCCGAGGGGGGGGAAAAGAGTGAGGCATTACCACTGTCAAGGCTAGCTCTGCCATCCTCCACACCGCCCACACATCCAGCCAGACCGGCTCCGGGCCGGCCGGCCGTGGGCATCCTGCGGCGGCCGCTCTCTCCTGCGCAGCGGGACCGGCTGGCGAACGGAAAAGGGAGAGCAGGTGAAACAACGGCAGGAGCAGCCCCCCCTGCGCCCCCCCGACCCTCCTCTCGGCCGAGCCGCCGGGGTTGCTTCTCTCAGGTCTCTCCCAGGCCGGCGCAGCATCCACCGCGCCCCTCCAAGGACACCCCGGCCCCGGCGGCGGCTCCTCCCGCGGCTCCGGAGGGCAGCGGCGGGGCCGGCGTGGGAACCGAGCCCCGGTGCTCCCGCCAGCATCTTCCCGGGAGCAGCGTCCGGCTCCGGCCACCGAGGGGCTCGGCAGACACCCCCCCCGCCCC